ACCATTAGACCAGCATGGCAGCCAGTCAACTAGCATTTTCTAGGTCAGAAACGACGGCCTCATTCTTACATTTATCTCACCACAGAAGTTTCAGGCATTGGGTCCTTCTGCTGCCGCTCTCCTAACTAAAAATACAAACGCTACTGAGACCGACATAAGTGGGACAATGGAATGTAAATTGTTATCACACTATAAAAACGTCTCACTATGATAGTAAATACTGTCTTATGTTACTACATGTTTATACTGCTGAATGCTTTGTGTTATATACACGGTATACTGTGTCACCCTGTGATGTCACTGGCTCCGGGTGAGGCCCCGTGCAACTAAACTGTATATAACAGACATTAAACTCGATTCACAAAGCTGGAGAAGAGTAATTATTATAAAGTGTATTTCCACATTTGCAGCCACATTAATATCTATTTATATTTGTGACATCTTCTCATGCACATTGTATAACTTAATACAAATATTTAAAAATTGCTTCTTACATTTCAAAGTGCTTTTAAAATGCTCCCCCCCCCCCCCCCCATGTAATGTTCAGGAGGGGGCTGGGGGAGTTATGTTTACTCTAATGAACCCTGTCTGTACTGTGCTGGCAGATTTCATTGTCAGCTGTAAACTAAATCTGAACATCACCTATATTAACACAGGGTGTAAGCCAGGGGATAGTAGTATTATGTAATGCAGGGAGCAGAGGTCAGTCGCATGTAACACAGTGCTCAAAGGTCAGGAATAAGTAATGAAGAGTGCAGAGGTCAGTAGTATGTAACACATAGTTTAGAGGTCAGGATTAATTAATGCAGATTGTAAAGGTCAGTAGTAGGGTAACACATAGTTCAGAGGTCAGGAGTAAGTAACGCAGGATGCAGAGGTCAGTAGTATGTAACGCATAGTTCTGAGGTCAGGAATAAGTAATGCAGAGGGCAGAGGTCAGTAGTATGTAACACATAGTTCAGAGGTCAGGATTAAATAACGCAGAATGCAGAGGTCAGGAGTATGTAACACATAGTTTAGAGGTCAGGAGTAAGTAACGCAGGATGCAGAGGTCAGTAGTATGTAACGCATAGTTCTGAGGTCAGGAATAAGTAATGCAGAGGGCAGAGGTCAGTAGTATATAACGCATAGTTCAGATGTCAGGAGTAAGTAATGTAGAGGTCAGTAGTAAGAAACGCATCATTCATAGGTCAGGAGTAAGTAACGTAGGATGCAGAGGTCAGTAGTATGTAACACATAGTTCAGAGGTCAGTAGCAAGTAACGCAGAGTGCAGAAGTAAGGAGTAAGTAACCAAGAGTGCAGAGGTCAGTAGTATATAACGCATAGTTCAGATGTCAGGAGTAAGTAATGCAGAGGTCAGTAGTAAGAAACGCATCATTCATAGGTCAGGAGTAAGTAACGTAGGATGCAGAGGTCAGTAGTATGTAATACATGGTTCACAGTTCAGGAGTAAGTAACGCAGACTGCAGAGTGCAGTAGTATGTAATACATGATTCACAGGTCAGGAGTAAGTAACGCAGACTGCAGAGTGCAGTAGTATGTAACGCATAATTTAGAGGTCAGAAGGAAGTAGCGCAAAGTGCAGAGGTCAGTAGTATGTAACACATAGTTCTGAGGTCAGGAATAAGTAATGCAGAGGGCAGAGGTCAGTAGTATGTAACACATAGTTCTGAGGTCAGGAATAAGTAATGCAGAGGGCAGAGGTCAGTAGTATGTAACACATAGTTCAGAGGTCAGTAGTAAGTAACGCAGAGTGCAGAAGTAAGGAGTAAGTAACCAAGAGTGCAGAGGTCAGTAGTATATAACGCATAGTTCAGAGGTCAGAAGTAAGTAGCACAGATTTGGTTGTTGAGGAGTAAGTAATGCAGAGCAAATGGGTCAGTAGTACAGAACATTACAAATTCCCCCTCCCTCTGTAAAATTCTCCCACCAGACCTCAGATGCAGCAGCACCCGGCAGAGTGTGGGAAGTCCTTCCAGGTCACCCTTCAGCTGTGTCATATGTCAAATTTGAGCAGAGGAGGTGCCTAGGACTTCCCATGGCTGTTCAATGCTGCTCTGAAATTTGAAAGGAGGCAGGCGGGATCAGGGTTGTGATCTACCCATCACAAGCCTACAATCCATGGGCAGATTGCAATCAACCGATTGCTGATCCCCAAGTGAAGTTAGATCTTTTTTTTTTTTTTGCTGTTTGTGTCCTCTCTGCTCTAGGGAGATTCACCCCCATCTCTATTTGTCTTGTCACCATTGTCACAGAGACAGAAAGTGAAATGCAAACAATTGTCACTCAGCAGGAGGTGAACATAAATCATCTAATGAGGGGAAATGTTCCATTGGCAACTGTATAAGAGGGGAATTCTCTTCCTTTTGGAGAAATATTCCCTCATTTCCTTTTGTGCCTGCAGGATAGTGGGCTAATCATTCCTTTATGTTGCCAGGCCAACTGCACATCCAGAGCTGCTGGGTTCTAGTACAGATCTAGCCTACTATTACAGAGCCATTCATTCCTGACTGCATACAACTGTTTCAGACCTTTTGGCCATCACCAGTGCAGGACATGGAAACCACGGCTTCTGTAGACAAAAGGAGAGATCTGAATGTCTCCAAGCAGCCGTGTAAAATGAGGAGTAATCCCGTTTTTTTTGTATTTGTGATGGAAGTTTCTTTATGTCACATACCCTGTCTGGCTATATGTGTTAAGGTGCCCACTGTCAGAATACAATGTAAACAGCGGCCAGTCCACGATCGACACATTGTTTGTGTTGATGGAGGAATCGCGTCAATTTCTCCCGTTCAGTCCGTGGGTTGAACGAAAGAAATTGACAGTTGTATGACCAGCTTTATACACGTTATAATCTGACCGTACAAACTTTGTACAATTAACTTCAGATTTAGCAAAACGATGTAATATGACGATCTACCTAATCTGTCCAATCAATTTGTAGCCAATCAGGCATGCCCTTGTACTACATACTAGATCTAAAGGAGATTGTACAATCAGATTGTAATGTTAGTTGCTATTTTATCTCTGTCACAATGTAGCAGTCCGTCTCTCTCGGACCCAGGGGCGTCCCGTGGCTGGGTGTCACCCGGGGGCGGAGACCGGGTGACACCCCGCCGTGAC